TGGTCGCCATGTTAAGTTGTTGCAGATAAGTTAGTTACATAATTAGTAATTAATTAGATTTAAAGGTTGTATGGAGGATTTTTTTTTTGTTTCAAACTGTCAGTGAAAGATTAAAATACCATTACAGAGACGCAGCAGCTTTGTAATTATGATGACCAAAAAAAAAAAGAATGAAAATCTATCAACTGTGGACGTGTTGAGGCCAGATAAACATCAGCCAATGGAAAACGAGGCTCCCTCATTTTCTATTGGCTGTTAGGTTGTCAATCAAACTCCCTAGTGTAACTGACTCGTCAGAGCGCGGGGATTACGTGGTTTACGCAGCGGTTCTTAGAGGCTTTTTCGAACTGTCGCTTCCTCGCATTTCGCACAAAGTTTGTCGTGACGGCGGATGAGAATCCACGACCGGTTCGCCGCAAAAGAAAGTCCGTTTTTGAGGTCGCTGAAAGAAGAAGAGAAGAGGAAAAGGAGCAAAGCCAAACTGAGGTGATTCTTGGAGATCTCGTCCAGCGATGGCGCGACCGAAGCAGACGAAGGGTCTAAAAACTGACGCGTCGGTCGCTGAATTACTTCTAGACAGGAAACTTCAACAGTAATTCTGAATGCGCACAAGGACTGTCGCTGTATTTCTCTTCCCTTAAAAAAATCCTCTATACAACCTTTAAATGGTACAGTTTTGTTAAGTTATTAATGAATGTATAAATGTAAAAGTTTAAACATGTATCAATAAGTTCTATACGTAAGATGCAATGGAAATGTTGTATAATTGAGTTTGTGTAGCAACATGGAAATTATTTGTCATAGAAGAATAAACCCTGCAGTCCTGAGAGGCGAAAGACAAATCATCTGTCCCTTGTTTTCCTTTTCCAGGGTTTTACCTTCACACGACTCTCGAGCGCGAGAGGGGCAACGTGGGCATAGATGTGGTTCATAATGTGATTTCATGTTAAGAGGTTAAACACAGTAAAAAGGTTTGCAATAAATATGACTTTACATGAGCCTTAAAAACAAAAAGTAATAATACAGTTATAAGTAAACTAAAATGTTTATTCTATTTTATTTTTTCAGTAACATTTCATGTAGTTTTGTTCAAGGAAACTGTAATTATATCTGTGATCGACTGCTGAGCCTGGGATCTTTTGTTTTGGTGATTAGTAATGTCTTCACCCACCACTTGAGGGATTTCGTGCTCTTTCTCCTCATTGTATTCAACTTCTGCATGAGAGAAGCAGCACAAATCATTCCCAAGGACTTGCCAAATGTTTACAAATGTTATATGTACATTATTAAAACTATTATCTGCTGGAATAACATGTTGAAGTGAGGCTAGGGGACTGTTTTATTGCTTTGTTTTGATATAAATAAGACCTGCTTTTTTTTTGTTTTGTTTTTTTTACATTGTGGACTTGTTCTCCGCCAGCTTTGTCCACACAGGTTTATGAGCCCCATGTAAAATCCTGTTGATACTGTTTATATTTGATTGTATGAAACTTCTGGATGAAAGAAGCCGCACCAAATCACTCCTGTGGTTCTTATTTTCAGAAGTACGGTTCAACATTCCCCATTCCAGGGGACAAGAAAGTTCACATGTGGCTCTTCCAGCTCCTTCAGACTCTGGCTCCCATTGACCAAAGATCACCACTCACTACAGGAGAAATAGCCCGATTTTGGCTGCAATTTGCTTCTCGTGAAGTTCCGGGAGGCGTGACCCGACTTCGTGTCTTCGCTTGTGATTTTGAAGCCACAAAACAGCGCTGTGATTCCAGTTTGAAGTGGACTTTATCACCAATCCTGTTATGCTTTAAAAATCATGTATCTGAAGTATTGCACCACTTTGGAGATTTTAAGTCTCATCAGATTCTCCTCGTGTTTGTGGTGCGCGCTTTTTGTCGCACATTTAAAAATAGTTTAAGACTGAAAAATCCTGTAGTGTTTGGAGGACTTAACACTGGAAAATTGTGGCCTCTCTCTCTGTACCTGCTGCTGTCAGACTCCTCATTTTGGTCTTAAAATGTCCATATTAACAAGCTCTATATCAGGGGTGTCAAACTCATTTTGGTCCGGGGGTCGTATCCAACCGACTTTGATCCCAAATGGGCCGGATCAGAAAACTCATGTCATATAAACCCCAAAAATAACAATAAGTTCAAATATTTGTGTAGAGAAACACAAATCTATTACAGAAATCTTTTTTAATTGATGAACTCTTTCTTTTACTAAATATTATAATATTATGAACAACCTGAAACTTTAAGAAAAATGCAATTTCAACACAATGTTTTAACATGAACTTGTATGTAAATAGGAATAAGTCAATTTTTCTTGTAAAATCCTGCACTCGGCTCCACTTTTCTCATGTTGGACATTTTTCTGATGAGGGTGTCACGGTCAACAGTCAAAACGATCGTCCTTTAAGAGCGTTTGGAAAGAGACAAGTCTTCATTTGTGCTGCTCTGGTGGGAGGGGCCACGTACAGAGACGCTGGAGACGCTGCTGTGATAAACACCACAGAAAATTAACAATATTTTAATAGAAAATTTAATTAAAATATTTTAGTAGAAAATCAGCCGACAGCCAGATTAAAGTTCTTCGAGGGCCGGATCTGGCCACCGGGCCGTATGTTTGACACCTGTGCTCTATATGATCCTGGGGTTGTAGAGCCTGACTCCAAATTCACCCCTTTACTGCCAGCATCAGTCAGCTTCATTTGACTGGAGCTGAACGCAGTGGGTGACATCACACTCGCTTAGTCCACTTCTTTATACAGTCTGTGGCTAAAATTACAATATTTTGACTGATTTCAGTGTTATGCCTTGAAGCTACAGGCTAATGTATTAAACTATTCAATTAAATTTTTTTCCCTCAGCGTCTGTTCTGTATAAAGGCGGCGGGGGGGGGGCTGGGCGGTCAGAGGAGACTGTGGGGTTGGGGGGGGGGGGGGGGGGGGGGGGGGGGGGGGGGACAAGTGTGGCATTCGTACATCTTGTGGCAGTATTATGGGCCGTACAAAATGTAAAATAAATACGGCTTATATAGGAGGAGAGGAGATGGTTGTGACCAGACTGTCGATCTGGATTCAGCAGGCAAATACAGCGTAAGGACAAAAGTACTCAAAACAAGACGAACAGTTTGAATTGAATCATTTAAATTCACGAAGATGTTTTTTTTTGCAGTGTTATGGTTGGTTGGAAATGGTCAGGTCCGTCCCTCTCGCTCCCTTCGCTCCTGATCTTCTCCTGATTTAGGATATGTCCACATGACAACGCCCCAGACTTATTTATTATTGTTTTCTTTCTTTTTTGAAGGCTGAAAAACATTTGCATCCACACACGTGCCGGATCAGTAAATATTTACATTCACACGACAACGGAGCACTGAGTGAAAATGATGTAATACCTACACCACGCCTGTATGTGGCGCTGCTAATAATGATAATAATATTTAATAATGATTATCTCATCACCATTTTTTTAAACTTTAAGGTAATCTAGCCTGTTTTAGACATATCCCACAAATCTCGCCGTTTTGTTTTGCAAAAGCTAAACACAAGTTTTCGTTTTTAGCCATAAGATTTGGATGAGAATTATTAGAATAACTTGGTCTCAAAATCCAACAGTTTCAAAAGCTGCAGTTTGTTTGTCCACATGACAACGCAACCCCAGCATTCTCAGATTTCTCCACTCTGGAACCTGTTCTCAAAAAACACTGTTTTCGCCCACCCAAAACGCCGTCTCCGTGTGGATGAAAGACCAAAATGAAAACAAACTTCACAGTTTTGACCAAAAAATTTTCATGTGAACAGGTCTTTAGTGTCAGTGTACTAAGCCTACTTAAAGAGTAACTAAACAAATCTTTTTTTCTCCTACACTCTGCACATGGTGTTTGAATAGCATATAGTGAAGTTTGCTGATGACACAGCAGTGGTGGGGCTCATCATGAACAACGATGAGTCCAATTACAGGAGGGAGGTCTGTCAGCTGGAGGCTTGGTGCAAAACCAACAATCTGTGCATCAATATAAAGAAAACAAAGGAGATGATTGTTGATTTCCGCAGGAAACCTAATGCCCCCTCTCCTCTGTACATCAATGGAGATGCAGTGGAGATTGTTTCCCGTCTTAAATACCTGGGAGTCCAAATCATGAACAGTCTCAGCTGGTCTAATAACACCAGTTGCATTGTGAAAAAGGGACACCAACGCCTATACTTTCTTAGGCGCCTAAAAAAAGCAGGTGTGGGCCCCTCTGTCCTGAAGGCCTTTTACAGGTGTGCGGTGGAGAGCATCCTCACCACCAACATGACTGTGTGGTTCAGCAGCAGCACCAAGGCAGAGAGGAAAACTCTGCAGAGGATAGTTAGAGCTGCAGAGGATAGTTAGAGCTGCAGAGGATAGTTAGAGCTGCGGAGGATAGTTAGAGCTGCAGAGGATAGTTAGAGCTGCGGAGCGCGTCTGCGGCTGTAGTCTGCCCTGCATTGAAGATATTTACATCAGCAGGTGCAGGACAAAAGCCCACAGCATCATGGAAGACTCCACCCATCCAGCACATGAACTTTTTACAGCTCTCCCATCAGGCAGAAGATTGCGCCACCTACAGGCCAGGACCACGAGACTACGGAACAGTTTTTTATCCTGATGCCGTGAGACAGATTAATTCTGTCAGAAAAAACACTACAAAACAGCACTGACTTGGAACGCACTTTAGAAAATGGGGGCGGGTTGATATACAATATTTTTAACTATTTTATTCTTGTTATAACTATTTATTCTTATTATAACTACATGTTCTTATTGTTATCTGTGCTGCTGTTGACCTGGACCTGAGTGCATTGTTTCGTTTCTGTGTATTTTTTATACTGGAATGACAAATAAATTTGATTCTGATTCTGATTCTACTCTTCCTAGTCATTTTTTTTGGCAACTTTAGTACAAACTATGTCAAAAACACCTAAATGAGAAATGACAGAAGTGAGGTTTCTCATAGTCCTGTCCAGTGTCACTCACGTTGATGTCCTCCAGGTCCAGGAAGTTGAGCACGATGCCGTTCCTCCTCCAGATGATAGGGGGCCTCAGCGTGCCCTGGATGGCACAAGTCAGCACCGCGCTCAGCCCCACCGTCACCGTGGAGACGCTCACTCGCTGATCCTCCGGCAACGTCAGCTGGACCACCTCTGTAAACACAAACAACAACAACACAACGTCAGCTGGACCACCTCTGTAAACACAAACAACAACAACACAACGTCAGCTGGACCACCTCTGTAAACATCAACATAAACAATAACAACATCATCTGGGAGGTATTCCATTAAAGTGAGCTAAAGCAAAAGCCTGGTCTTATTTGGGTAATCCCGACTTATCATAGCCTCATTTCCATTCCTCCAAAGTAACTAACCAGAGCTACACGAGACACATGTGTGTGGACACTGCACTCATCACAAAGACATAAACTGTATAAAAGCCTACAGCCATTATTTCATTCAAATGATGTTGCACATGTGTCTGTTGCGTGGGGCAGTGCAGCTTTTCCACACAGACAGACTCTGGTTTGGACTGAGGATGACTGTGGGTTCTGTCTGTTTGCTCCTTCATCACGTCTGTGTCTCTCTCTTCATTCCCTCGTCTCTCACTCTCTGTCAAACTGCAAACAGCTTGGCACAGATTTTATTGTTTCTTCTAAGTTACATGTGAAGAGTTCTGTTACAGCTTCATTTTTACGCACAGCAGAACTTAAGCTCTGTACATACTACTTCATTCCCCGGGTGTATTAACCAGACTCCTCACTCCACAACCTCCTCCTCTCTGTCCATAGAGCGACCAGGAGAGGAGGGGAAGTCGTGTCTATCCTCTCACTCCTCAGATCAGAATGAGTGGAAAAGTTCCATGGTTTGAAATCAAACTGTGCGGGTGCACACTGTGGCTCCTCTCTCTTTTTAACAGATCAATAAAAACATCATTTTCTGTGATGTCGTTGCTCTGTTGTTCTGGCCTTCCCAGAGTCACAGGGAGCATGCACAAAGCAGAGCTTCAACTTCAGGCCTATGTTAGCTTCGACCAATCACAGGGCAGCACTGTGTGGTTTTGGAGGAGCCAAAGGTGAAGCACCCAAAGGAGCCAAACAAACAGTGATGTGGACACATGTACTTCAGCCCGTCTGATCAGACATACAGACTGTTTAGTCTGTTGTGCTGTTGCAGTATTTGTTTTCACCCTGAGAGCTCCTGAAGGGTTTCAGTGAGTCATGTCAGACTGGTCATGTTCAGAACTCCATTCAGAGAGCGACATTATCATGGAGCTGATGTGACATGAGGAGGATTATTGATCACTGCTCCCCAAAGACTCACATGAGCTCATCTGTGCTGCTCAACAAGCCAAGTGTCTCCCACCTGAAACTACAGCCTGCAGCTGCACGATATATATACACATATATATACATACACATATATATATATATATATATATATATATATATATATATATATATATATATATATATATATATATATATATATATATATATATATATATATATATATATATATATATATATATATATATATATATATATATATATATATATATATACATATACATAATACATATATACATACACATATATATATATATACATACACATATATATACGCACAGATATATACATACACATATATATATACAGATCTGTCTCCCTGGAGACAAGAAAATGACACCACTAAGCTCATGTTTGCTTGTGTGTTTTCAATGTATTTTTATCAATATGAAACAGCCAGTAAATACAAGATCTAAAGTTAATGTCATATCATTCACAACATCTCCCTGGAGACAAGCAGAAAGTGAACTCTCCACCAGAAATGTTACATAGTTCACCTTTAAATTAGCTGTATTTGGCATATTTTATGTATGCTAGCAGTTTTTTATTAGCAGTCAAAATTAAAATGTCTCCTAAATGTCTCTTGGCAAACTCGTGGAAGCAGCACTCAGTCTTGTCAGATTTTGAGATCTAATAAAGCTTCAAATGCAGAGATTTTGATACAGATTGGTGCAGAATTTTCCCAAACAGAAACAGTTGAATCAATATTTTTCATAGCTGCTTTTCTTCCTTTATTTATTTTCTTTCTTTGTCTTAAAAAATAAACCCCTCAGGCTTTTCAGCAGGTCTAAGACTATCAAAAAAAATAAATACAAATGCAGTGGAGTAAAGTACAGATACCTGCGCTCAAATGTAGTGAAGTAAAAGTAAAAAGCATCGACTGTGAAATCTAAACCGTGTACTTTTACTTTTACTTTGTCACATTGTCTTTTTCTTTAGGACCTGTGAGGAGACTGGGACAAGATTGAGTATTTTCTGTTACAAAAATATGTTTATACGCTGAAAAACTAATCTGAAAAGCGACAGCGAGTTGTGTGAGTGAAACAAGCACAAACATTTGGAATCGATTTGAAAATACGACAATGGAGGAGCGAGTGAATAATGGGCGCCGAGGCAGGAGGGCGCGTGGAGGAGACACGGAGAGACAGAACGAGCAAAAGTCAGATTAAAGAGCAGAAAATGCACCGCACGATCCGCCGCACGGGAACCCAAAAGAGGAACCACAAAGGGACGATCCGGGGGAGGACATCGAATGCGACGCACGTTTGGGAATGGCAAATGGGAGAGTGAAAAATCGCTCCTGCGCTCCGAAAGGAAAGAGACATCAAGAGCAAAAGAGATGAACAACTACTGAGGAATAAAGAAAGAAGAAGAAGAGAGGAGGAGGAGGAGGGAGACGCATCAGGAGTAAAAGTCACAAACAACTACTGAGGAAAAAAGAAAGAAAGAAAAGAGAGAAGAAAGCAGGAGAAAGAGGGAGAGCGAGAGCAAAGGGGGAGGAGTGAGACATCAGGAGTAAACGAGGAGGTGGGAGTAGATAAAAAAATAACTAGTCTGCAATAGTTAAACTTATGGTTGCTAGGTAACAGTTCTGGAACAGTAATAGTGCGTTCAGACTGCAGGGCTTAACGCTCAATTCCGATTTTTTTGTGAAATCCGATGTTTTTGCGAGGTCGTTCACATTTCCAATTAAATGTGACTTGTATGTGACTCCAGTGTGAACATTAAACGGCCCGAAAAGTGTCCCACATGTGACACTGGAGACACGACGACGTCAACCGCAGCGAGCGTCTCTGTGTTTACAGAAGTTGTCCAAACATGGACGCAGCATCGAGCACCTGGAGATTTTAAAGTTCCTCTCGTACCGGAGCCAGAACATGAACAACTTACTTGTTTTAAGGAGGAGATTGAGAAGGAGAAGGACGAGGTTTTTGGTCGTGGTGTTTTGTGGTGAGTGGTGATGTGCTTCACTTCAGTGACACGGAGTTCGTTAACAATTTTCGCCAACTTCAGCGCAGAATAGTGACGTTTGTGTCTTGTTGATAACGTGTAGGTGGATGAATGCACTTTGTCCGTTCAGACTGAAGTCACATGTCAAAAGATCAGATATGTATCAGTTTCAGGAGCACATATCCAAGTGTCCTGGGTCACATTTGAAAAAAATCAGACCTGTGTGGTTCAGACTGACATTAAAAGATCAGATACAGGAACATAGAAGCCAAAAAATCTGTCCAAAGTGTCCAGTTTAGGGATGGGCAGGATTAGTCGATTAATCGATAATTGATCATTAAGAATTTCATCGATTTCGTTCATTTTAATCGACAAAGTGAATGTAGGTTGCTGTGTGTATCGTGACCAAACAGGTGTGTACATGTACATGATTACAGATTACACACCCCAAAATGTAGTTTGTAACAGAATCCATTAAGGTACTTAAAGTGAGTAATGTAATCTGAATACTTTGGATTACTTGATTTGCTGTAGAGAAGCAAAGACCAGGAAATCTTCACTTAAGATGTTTTGTCTGATAAAAGAAAATGAAAAGCCCAGACTTTACTGAACCAAATTAAAAATATTATTGATAGAAGAAGAAGGAGACACGGTCCGTGCAGCAGGATTTAGTCCTGTTAAATCCTGTTTTAGACCTGGTTTAGTCCTGGTTTAAAACTGGTTTGGACTTGGTTTAGACCTGGTTTTAGACCTGGTTTGGACCTGGTTTAAACCTGGTTTGGACCTGGTTTAGTCCTGGTTTAAACCTGGTTTGGACTTGGTTTAGACCTGGTTTTGGACCTGGTTTTAGTCCTGGTTTAAACCTGGTTTTGGACCTTGGTTTAGACCTGGTTTGGACCTGGTTTAGTCCTGGTTTAGACCTGGTTTGGACTTGGTTTAGACCTGGTTTTAGACCTGGTTTTGACCTGGTTTGGACCTGGTTTAGACCTGGTTTGGACCTTTGGTTTAGACCTGGTTTAGACCTGGTTTGACCTGGTTTAGACCTGGTTTTGGACCTGGTTTGACCTGGTTTAGACCTGGTTTAGACCTGGTTTAGACCTGGTTTGGACCTGGTTTAGACCTGGTTTAGTGTCCGGCAATAAGTGGAATTACCGGGAAAAAAAAGGGATACAGCCCAAAATGTGAAAACAGGAAAATAGCGCCGTGTAATCCATTTACTTCAACAAAGTAACTGTAATCCAATTACCACTCATGGAAACAGTAACTGTAACTGAGTACAGTTACTCATAATTTGTACTCTGATTACGTAACTCCGGTACATGTAATCTGTTACTCCCCGACACTGGTGACTCTCTGTATCTACTGCAGTGAGACTCGTCTAGAAATACATTCTAATCTAGTCTAATCAACTAAAGTTTAAAGACTGAGTTGATCTTTAGATTTTATTAGTTCTGTGGAGAGAAACACAAAGACATTTACCCGAAGTTCTATAAAATCTTTTTTACGTACTCAAAGGGCCGTGATCAAAGAAGACAATATTTTTTCCAAACTGTCTTCTCAAGGACAACATAAAAACAGAAATGCGTCTCTGTATACGGAGTCCAGATATGAAACTTATTAAATCAGGGTTTTAAAAGTTGCACCAGTGTTTCTAAATGTAAGAAAATGTACAAGGATAAACTCAGAGGAACGAAAACGATTCAATTTAATGAAAGGACAAGAAAAATATTGTAAATACATGTGGTTCATTGGTGACTTTTTTTGTTTGTTTTTTGGGATGGGGATTGATTATTAAAGATTTTTTTTTTTTTTTTGATCTGTGAAAGGAGCAGAGTGTGTTACAGTTACAGT